ACTTTAACTCAATGGTTAGCGACACTCATCCGAAGCACATTCAGGAAACGACATATGGAAATCGGTCTAAAAATAGAACTATATTTTTTTCCAAAATGATCACATCAAAAAATTACAGGACCACATCAAAAACAGGAACAAACCCATCATGTTTTTGGAAAGAAGTGAAAATAAGCCAAAATCAAAAATTTACAATATGACCTTGACCTTTAACCTTGACATAATTTTAATTTTTGTGGACCAGGGACCTCAAATCTAAAGACCCTAGGTATCTATCACTTATGGTTTACCAGTTAGAAATGCATATCACTTATATCAATTACATAAGGGGAAATAACTACTTATATGGAGTCTCCGGATAGCTTCGATCTAAATGGTCATCCTAATCCTGAAGATGTAACGAGCAATTTGGTAAAATAAATTTGTCGTAAACTTTTACGGTTGCGAAGGAGTAGTGGCCACAAGAAAAACAGTGTTTGGGGAGATAACTCTTACAACATAAAGTGTTCGGTTAAGCAGTGTTAGTTTCAAAAGCGTATAAACTGTACGATATCATATTCCAAATATATAAGCGACATCTTATAAAACAAGAACACAGCGAAAGAAAAAAATTAGGCGGAAGAAAAAAAAAATATTAATCAGAACAAAATCAATAGGTCTTTCCACGGAAAAGTGGAAAGACCTAATAATAATAATAATTAAAAACCATTTGTTCAGAGAACAATTGAAGGTCTTTCCACATCAATTTTCAAATTTGTTAATAAGAAGATAGTTCCTGTTTACTCAAAGTTAGAATTGGCATCAACTCATCAGTTTTTTTCAAACTGATGCGATAAATAAGTGGTTTCTATATACTTTTGAGTGAAATAAGAAAGATAATTAGCTACTTCCGGTGGAGTAAATGTCACTTCCGGTCTCATATGATAGCTTCTTTCACACTGATTTCAAATATATATAGTTTGGTATACTTTTGCCTGTAAACCAGGAGATAATTGGCCACTTCCGGTTTATCGAAAGTCACTTCTAGTCTTTAGTGATAAGTTAATGTATCTAAATTACAAAATATATGGATTCCGAGTACTTCTTCATGAAAAAAGTTCAAAAGTATACGTCCGGTTTTCTCAAGGTCACTTCCGGTTGTCATTTTTCAAGGTAATATGTCACCCAACCTTTTGTAAAGGTTCATATGGCTTTATAATGAACCATGTTGAAGTAACAATCAATTAACCTTATAATTAGACATTCCAGGGACACAAACTCCTATAAGATGCCATTAGATTGTTTCAGACCAAATGTAACATATCTTCATTACAATTAAGCAAACATTCTGCTCTTGTTCTTTTATATATATCTCTGAAGGTGTCTGAGAAAATGCCAAAAACAAGGAAAAATCAAAATTAATACATTACCTTGACCTTGACCTTGACTTCATTTTCTATGTAAGAACCTAGGGGCCTTGAATAAAAAGATTGCAGGGTTATACGATTAACGGTTTATGAGTTAAGAAAACATACCGACAAATTTATTTGGTGAAGGTAGATAACTCCCATAAAATTTCATCGAATCGCTTCGATCCAAATAAACCAAAAATTCCTGAGGATGTAACGAACAATTTGTAAAAAGAATTTTGTCAATATCTTTTTTGTTACGAAGGAGATGCACACCTTGGATAAACAGTGAATAGGGAGATAACTCTTACAAAGAAAAATTATTCGTCTTAGCAGGGTGAAATTTAAAAGCGCATAAACTGTACGATACAATATAAGAAATATCTTAGCGACATATTGCGAATCAAAAATTTTTAAATTTTGCGGGAAAAAAAAATAATCAGAACAAATACAATAGGTCTTTCCACAGAAAAGTGGAAAGACCTAATAATAATAATCAGAACAAATACAATAGGTCTTTTCACAGAAAAGTGGAAAAACCTAATAATAATCAGAACAAATACAATAGGTCTTTCCACAGAAAAGTGGAAAGACCGAATAATCAGAACAAATACAATAAGTCTTTCAACAGAAAAGTGGGAAGACTTAATAATAATCAGAACAAATACAATAGGTCTTTCCACAGAAAAGTGGAAAGACCTAATAATAATAAGAATAATAGTAATTCTTTATTTATAGAGGGTTACACACTTAGCTATAACACTAATCTTTCCTTGGGCCCTTGTGTTATAAAAAGCAGATTGATATTGAAATTGTCAATGTTTAATAAATAGATATATTTTGAAATATGAATAAGGATGCTGACATTTTACACAAATCTTTTAATAAGTAATAAAGCTGCTAAGAATAAAAACATATCAATTTTCAACTAAAATTGTCAATATCGAAGGGCATCATAAAATTGTTTCCTTAATTAGGATATAAACAGATAAATTTAAAAAAGGTCTAGATCAAAAGTTAAATTTGAAACGTATATTTGAACACTGCAAGTTATACAGGTAACAGTTTTATCAGTATTTTTACATAAATATTTAGTAATACATTCCTGTTTTAAGTAAAAAGAAATTACTTAAATTTAGTAGGATATTTAAAGAACGACACATATTAATTGTTCTTCCTAAATAAAACTTCTTATTACTAAGTAAGCTTACATGTAGGAACTACACAATTTCGTTTACTTGCATGAGATTTAATCATTTTTGATAATAAATTCTTCTTATTATACAATTGCAACATATGTATGTTGCACAGTCTGTAAAGTGCATAAATTTGGATAACTAACAATTTTATTTGGATAATACTTTGAAATACTTTAAAATTTGCATTGGATTACTTGGTATTACTTAGAATTTTACTTCCAATGACTAAAAATCTTAACTTTAAATTACTACCCATTACTTAAATCATTTTCATATTAAAGTCATATGAAACCTCAAATTAAAAAAAATGAGGCATATGTTTTTTATAACTAAATGGACAGTTTTCATTATAAAACTTATGTACATATACTTTTTTCTGAAGAAAATTCTTTAATTTGTCCACAATTAGAAGAAGTTTTTTTTTAATTGCTTGCTTCCAGGAAGCAGTTCGCCGACATAATTTCGGTATGCAAGTGATCTCAGCGTGACCCTTCTCGTAAAAATTCGGTGATCGCAATACACATGGGTCTGTCATTTAAATAAACTATTATCTGATTGTACATGTTATACACGTGCTCAATATTCATGCTTCTTTGTTGATTGTTTACTATAAGTTAACAATCAGTAAACTACGGTTTTAAAACACAACAATTGAGTAGTTGATATATTTTCACACAATAACAGACAGAGAGGAAAACAAATTGACGATTATACGAAATGTTTGCGTAAAAATAATAAAATCGTGCACAGAAAACTAAGTTAATGATATATACATGCATTTGTTCAAGAATTGGATAAACATTATTTTTCACCAGTCACTCGTTTCATATGAATTAAAGGAAGTTCGCTACTCAGTTTCGAAATAACAAACTTTTCATAACACTAGTATATATTGATAGGGGATTAATAAAGAAAACAAAAGAGCAAAAAAAAAAAAAATATATAGGTCAACGTGTTTGTTTTGGATATATTAGCCATTGAAATTTTGGCGGGTAAATGTTCTCTCTTGATTTTTCATAGCTTTTTCATTTACAAGTTTAAGTTCTCAAAAATAACAAAGAGTTTATGAGACTTTTACTTATGGCTTATAATTGTACATGTAAAAGATTTATAAAAAGAAAAACGGGGGTCAATGGGCAATTATTTTTAAGGCATTCAAATGGATAAAACCAGAGGATTCCGATAATCTGACAAAATTTCCAAAACCAGACAAGCGAACATCCTTAAAATATCTTAAAGCTAGTATTTGTCATTTTTCATATATTTGCTATATTATAAACTTGGTCATACTAAAATTGACACCTGTTTCCTACCGATAAATCAAATAAAATGTACAAAATTGTATCTTATTTCCAGTATTTAAGAAGTAGTTTTTGCTTTGAGGATAAAAAATTTTTTAGCCAATTAAAATTAAGCTTTCATTTGACTTTGGTAACCTATTTTTGAAAAATGGCTAGAACTCATTAGATTTGAATTTGAACAAAAAGTATACTGAGTTTGCTGGAATACCTTCATGATTTACAAGCATGAGAGGAAATGAAAATTTCCAAAAAGGACACTTTGTGGATACTCATGTTTCCGCGGCTACTCTTAGTGTATAATTTCAATTAAATGAAAATGTCGCACAAAGAGTTGCTGGGGAGGTAGCCTATGTTAACTTACAACAAACTAAAAAAAAATGGATTAAAACAAAAGATATACAATGACGCATATGATCATTCTTTGAAAGGTATGTTACTTTTTAGAATTATATGCATTTATAACAAAATAGCGTAGAATTTTTATTCAGTTCGAGATCTAGATTTACATATATATATATATATATATATATATTAACAAAACGCATTTGACTAACAGGTCGAACAACAAATGTTCTTAAACCCTGCTGACTGCCATTGGCGATTGCCAAATAAACGGATCACCGATGTAATAAATGGATCTTAATTGTAAATTTAACACTAAACAGAAAACAATAAACTTGCGGAAAAGATGATATACCGCAAACAAGCAATCGCCAATTCACCGTTTAAAGTATTTCACAGCTATAATGATTCACAGCTATTAGTCATTTGCATGAGATCAATTTATAAGCTATATGAATATTCACTGAATTCATACACAAAGACAGTCAAGATTGCTTATTGGGCATTGAAATCTTGTGTAGCAATGCAGGTTGCATCTTTATTGGGTGGCAAGACATTGAATCAAGTAATTGAATAACTTATTTTTGGTAATTCCAAGAATTATTTGTTTAGAGTGTTAAGGTGCTTATAATGCGTATGTATTAATTCTGAGCATAATCCGTCTTGAATGTACGTGAAATATATGAATTCGGATGTAAACTTATATGTTTGGCTCTATAAATATTTACTGCCCATTTGAAAGAACATAGTGGCATATTACATATAGAAAGCAAATTTGAAACTTTGTTTTATTGTTTAGGAATGAAAATACAAACTTCTAATCAATCCGCTTAAAAGAATAGTAGCAATTAATAAATCTTTACCGTTTTCATTGATTATGATTAATGCAGATCATTTTGATTAAATTGTTTATTGAATTCTACACATTTCTTAACGGATTCCCTGATTTCTTTATTCTGGCTGAATTAAAATAGATGGTGAGTAAACTAAGAATTTGGCATCTGTAATCCTTTTGCCTGTGCATTCATATTCAGTTAGGAATTCGCCATTCACAGACAGACTAATCAAGTTTTCTGCTAGAGGTCTAACTTTCAGCTTGAATTCATTCACAAAAAAAGTTTCCTTGACGCTGTTATCCACAATCTTTTTCTCATGACCCCATTTTTTTTGGTTGTTTTCATTTTGAAGTGTATTCAAAACAAGAGACTGCGATGGAGCTCTTGGATTGAAATGCAAAATAATGCCGTTCTGTTCGTCTTTAGTTTGCTGGAAGTTAATTGAATATCCGCTAAAATGAAAACAAAAAAAATTCAGAAGGGCTCTTTGTATATATATATATATAATATCATGATACTCATATGAACGTAAAAATGTTTTACAAATTAATCCAGTTTTTCTCGATGTTAAAAATTCATAAATACAATAGCATGATATATGAATTTCAGCTGGAGAAACAATTAAAGAAAGAAGCAGTATATTCCAATTCGTAATTAAAGGGTATAGAGTTCAGCTCAAGTACAGCATGATGGGACGACTCGATTTCCTAAAAACGTCCTATCAAATAAAATCAAAACACGCTGTACGTTGTACACAACAACTGCGTATACTTACTGAATTATAATACAAAGTCTTAAAGACCGAATTGGTCACCCGTCGTACCGAAGTTTTCAAATAAAGAGTTCGAAATTTCTTCCTTAACTTTTTGGATACATATGATGAATAAGAATTATATGATGAGGCATTTTATGAACTGTGTGCCATGAAATATGCTGTTACACGCAAAAGTGCCACTTCGATCTGTCTTTCCGGCCAATCGGTGCAGGTAGTAAGTTACGATTTACGTCCCTTTGGTGACACTTTGTACACATTTGCACTAATATTATGTCGGTCCTATTGTGTTTGTGCACTATGCTGTTATTTACAAGTAAACATCATTAAAATAGTTATATATCTTTTGCTAAATATAATTGATTATGTCTTTATTCTTCTGGTATATGTAAAACATTTTGATAAACTTATTTGCTCATTTTTAAAAGAGTTCCGGGAAATAGGGCTATGCAGTTACACTTGTACATAATATGTTATCCCAAGAGTCACTTAAATTTTCTACATTTCTTTTGACAGTTAAAAATAACAATAATACCGAACTTTCAAAGCAGAAATTGCAAAAACTCAAACAAATGGAAAACAATAGTCATATTCCAGATCTGGTGCAGTCTACACAAGACTCATCAGTGACGCTCAGATCAAAATAGTTATAAAGCCAAATAAGTACAAAGTTAAAGAGCATTGAGGACCCAAAATTCCAAAAAGTTGTGCCAAATACGGCTAAAGTAATCAATTCCTGGGATAAGAAAATCCTTAGTTTTTCGAAAAATTCAAAGTTTTGTAACAGGAAATTTATAAAAATAACCATATTAATGATATTCATGTCAACACCGAAGTGCTGACTACTGGGCTGGTGATACCCTCGGGGACGAAACGTCCACCAGCAGTGTCATCGACCCAGTGGTCTAAATAGTTGTCAAAGGTACCAGGATAATAATTTAATACGCCAGACGCGCGTTTCGTCTACACAAGACTCATCAGTGACGCTCAGATCAAAATAGTTATAAAGCCTAATAAGTACAAAGTTGAAGAGCATTGGGGACCCAAAATTCCAAAAGGTTTTGATAAATATGGCTAAGGTAATCTATTCTTGGGATAAGAACATCCTTAGTTTTTCGAAAAATTCAAAGTTTTGTAACAGGAAATTTATAAAAGTGACCATATAATTGATATTCATGTCAACACCGAAGTGCTGACTACTGGGCTGGCGATACCCTCGGGGACAAAACGTCCACCATCAGTGGCATCGACCCAGTGGTGTAAACAGTTATCAAAGGTACCAGGATTATAATTTAATACGCCAGACGCGCGTTTCGTCTACACAAGACTCATCAGTGACGCTCAGATCAAAATAGTTATAAAGCCAAATAAGTACAAAGTTGAAGAGCATTGAGGGCCCAAATTCTAAAAAGTTGTGCCAAATACGGCTTATTTAATTTATTCCTGGGATAAGAAAATCCTTAGTTTTTTGAAAAATTTAATATTTTGTAACAGGAAATTTATAAAAATGACCATATAATTGATATTCATGTCAACACCGAAGTGATGACTACTGGGCTTGTGATACAGCGGGGACGAAACGTCCACCAGCAGTGAAATCTACCCAGTGATGTAAATAGTTATCAAAGGTACCAGGAGTATAATTTAATACGCCAGACGCGCGTTTCGTCTACACAAGACTCATTAGTGACGCTCAGATCAAAATAGTTATAAAGCCAAATAAGTACAAAGTTGAAGAGCATTGAGGCATCAATTATATAGAAAATGGCGGTTTCATCCTAGATTTATAGCTACAATGATCTTTCACTAGCTTGTATTGCAGTCGCAAAATATTTCAATATCTTGACAATAATGTATTTAATCACCCTATGGGCAGAGAACATGGGTAAAAATTAACACAGAAACTGCATAATGTCATGGCTAGCAAAAATATCCATAGACACTGGAGCTCGACAGGGTTAACATGTAAATTGTAATGGCAAAACTACTTTGTATATATTCAAGTGCAATAATAATCAAAGCTTCAAGAATTATTTTTAATTGATTAGGAATACTCATCTTCTCAATTCATGAATATAACTGATGGGTGCGTATAATCATTATGAATGTGTACTTCCGGAATGAAAGCTGATCAGCTCTAGTTAAAGGGTTGGATATGTGGAAATAGTTCATAAACACACATCATGCAAATAGCAAAATAAATAAATGAATAATTCTTGATAGATAAAATGATCCAAGTAGATTAAAAGGACAGTGAAGTTGACTATAGAATATAATTGTAATTTGCCATTACGTTTTAATATCAAAGCAATTTTAAATCTGTACTTTTTAATCACAAAATCAGCATTAAGATATGCATACCCTGGTTTCTCCGCTTCTTCTATAACTTTGCAACGACCCTTTATTATGAAGTCCTTGTCTACTTCTAATTTGCGATTCCAGTGTGCAAGTTCCGTCTGAAAATAATTCATATATAAGTTATCGAACCAAACAGAAAGAGAGAGAGAGAGAGAGAGTAAATTATTGCTATTATAAAAACATGTCAAACAGATTTAAAACACGATCACTATAAACGTAATAAAATGTGTAAGGGTAACGCTTTTTTACAAACATTATTTTGAAATGAAGTCCTTGGTGTACATTGAAATTGTCCATAATTTTGTTGTTGTTGTTATTGTTGACATACATTAAATACAATTTTGTCATAATAATGAAATGCTATTGTATTGCTGTTGAAATTGTGGTTTTCTCTATTTATATTGTTGTTATTTCACACTGATTAAAACAGTGATTTATACGTGCTTTCTCTTGTAATAATAGAAATAATCAGCCAGTTCTGGTTCAAAAATGAAGAACGCTTATATTACACTGATTCTAAAGGCATATGGTTTCTATGAACTTTTCGTTCTTATAAGTGTGATAATTAGTTGCTTGCAGTATAAAAAGGGTAATTTCTGGTGTCATTTTTTTTTGTTACTGTATGCTGATTCCACAGATATACTTTCTCAGTTCTTTTCTTTTAAAAAAGGGCCTCTTCTTGTGTTCACGTTTGTATGATATGTCACCTTACCCTTTGCTGAGGACCCAATAGCATTTCCATGTACCAGTATGCAATATAATCAATAAGCATTAACATAACATTAAAGGGGCTATAACACCTGTAGGATGTCATCAGATAGCTTTCGACCGAATGTAGCATTTCCTTCCTTCAAAAACCCAAACATTTTGCATCCGTTTTTTTTTGTACGGAACTTTTACAGTTTGAGGGAGATGCAAGCAAAAACAAAGGAAAACAAATTATAGATTACGACCTTGACCTTTGAGTTGACTTTATTTTTCAACTTATGACTGAAGGATTTTAAATTAAAGACCTGAGGTCTTTTCGACTTACTGTTTATGAGAAACGCTATCATACCAATTCAACAGTGACAGGCAGATAACTTATGTAAAATGTCAAAGGATCGCTTCGACTGAAATAAACCAAAGCTGAAGAAGGATATAACAAACAATTTGGAAACAAATGTGTCTAAGATGAGATGCAAAACCACTATTATCATAGTATAGGGAGATAACTCTTACAAATATATTGGTCAGTTAAGCATGATCAGATTGACAGAAACTGTAAAATTCAATGTAAAAAACGTCTCAGTGACATATTGCGAAAATTTAGCAGAAGAAAAAAACCTTTAGCATGTGATTAGGGATATAATTAGCTACTTTCGAAATAATGCAGAGATGCACTTACTAGGAAAATAAGTTCTTAGATATTTCTTTGGAAGGAATAACATCAAAGATCAAGTTTAGCTTAAAACATTCTTCATAACACACATTAAGTCCTTAAAATAAGATTAAAAACACATCATTTGCTATCATGGACATGACCCTGATCTTTGACCTTGTAAACTGTCAAGGTCATTTGTCAATGATATCATAGTAAACTACTACATAGGTTTTGGACCCTTTGTGTAAGAGTAAATAATCTAATTTGCGCTTTCATAAATGTTAACGGAGGTTATGCCATATACTGAAAGCTGAATAATCAAAACTTTGCGGTCAAAATGCAAGTTGTGCCTTTACGACCCTGACATTTTGCTTTTCTCCTTTATTAGTGAAATGATTTCAGAGAAATCTCATAACTAGGTGTTTGGTCAAAGGTCAAGGACAACCTAAAAATCTTTTAAAACACACTTATAACCCTTATAATAGTGTCATAATATGTAATTCAGTATCAGGGACATGACTTAGACCTTTTACCTTCTGTTCTATGTCAAGGTCATTGTTCTCTAATGTAGTTGCAGTAGACCCTAGGGTAAGATACTTAAGTTTAAGGGTTAAAAACTGTAAACAGAGGTGATGCCCCTTACGGGAAAGTATTAAAGTCACGCCTTAATGACCCAACTATGCAATATTTCTGTGTCTATAAAGATTACTGAGATAATCCCATAACACTTGCAAGGTATAATGTCAAAGATCAAGGTCAACGTTTACATTTGACCTTGAGATATGCTTAGGTGACATGATTGATGACGATTGGCAAAGATTAAAGGTGTCTACGACTTACGGTTTCTGAATTTTAATGATCAACTGACATCAGTTAATTTCAGTTTAAACAGTGTTTATTAATAATTAAGAAAATGATAACAATGGTGTAGTACAATTTTACATAAAATTCAGACATGGATACTACCCCGAGCGTTTAATCGTACAGAAATTGTCTTGTAGTTATCTTGGTACCACCTGTCACAATTCTTACTGCTTCTAGTGGCAAATGTTCTAAAGTTGTTGTCAAATAACCAGGGATATTATCGTCGACAATATCACCATATTTTAAGACTGGCCGTATAAAAGATAAAATAAATAGTTTCTGAAACCATTCTTTTGAATTTAAACCTCAGCTCCCGGAAATAATTATGGAATAGATTTAACAAAAATCATTTTTAAATGATTATTCTAGATATCGTCGTATTATCATAACCCATAAATGTTTGTGTGATTCTTTTATGCTATTTTTATTCATGTAATCTGATGGATGATGAGGTTAATCTTGCTTTTTTAGATGTTCATTATTTCTGTTTTGTAAGGGTTAGAATTAACAAGCCATTGATTGGACCAAATGTATTCTATATAATTTACTATGTCATTTATAAAAATTCGAGAAAAATAAAACCTAGCGTTTTTTTTCTACCTGTTATTGGTACGGTGTTCATCCCACAACAAGGTTCGTAGGTTTTGGGCAGACTCTGGACCGACCAAACTTTACGACTGACAGGATGACACAAAGTGTGAACATGAAAACTAAAACTCACATTTAATATTTACGCACCCTTTCAACCAAAATGTATGTGTTATGACATATCGCAACTAACAATTTAGTTAAAATTATTTGTCGATATCTCATACAGTTTCTGAAAAGAATCGAAAATAAGCCAAGCTCATACTTTAGAACATGACCTTGACCTTTGACCTTGACCTTTTCTTTATTTGGACCAATGACCTCAATTCCAAAGACCCTAGGTCTCTAAAACTTATGGTTTACAAGTTACAACTACATTTTTCTTATTAAAAATACAAAAGGAAAATAACTCCCATATGTAGTTTTCGGACCGCTTCAGTCAAAATTATTTCTAAGATCCTGAGGATATAATGAGCAAATTGGGAAAATAATTTTATCGTAATCTTTAACGGAGATTTGTACACACGAAAAACAGTGTTTGGGAAGATAACTCTCACAATAAAAAGTGTTCGGCTTAACAGGGTCAGTTTCAAAATTGTAATAACTGTTCGATATTATATGCAAAAATCTAAGCGACATGTTGCGAAACAAAAAAGCACCGTTACAAAAAATGTGGCGGACGAAGAAACAAATAAAATGATAATAATATAAATAATAATCAGAAGAAAACCAATAGGTTTTTCCACAGAAAAGTGGAAAGACCTAATAATAATAAGAGCAAATACCGTTTATTCTTTTCCTTTTGGAAAAAAAAATAATAATATAATGAGAAGAAATGCAATTAGGAAATCCTTAATAAAAAAACCAATAAGTAAGGTATTTCCGTTTAAGAAAAGGAAAGACCTAAAAAATATAATGAGAGGACACACAATAAGGATCCTCTTTGGGAAAAGGAAAGACCTTAATTATATAATGAGAATAAATACATAAAGGATTTCCTTTTGAAAAAGAATAAAAAAACCTTCATACGAATCAGAACAAATACAATTAGGTCTTTTCCTTTTGGAAAAGGAAAGACATTAATAGTTCTATAAAAATCAATGCAAGAAGGTCCCTTATGGAAAAGGAAAGACTTTGATTGTAAGAATTCTTTTTTGGAAAAGGAAAGACATTCAAAATGAGAATCAGTACAGAAGGTCTTTCCTTTTTGAAAAAGGAAAAACCTGAATAATATAATGAAAAGAAATACAATTAAAAATACAATATTTCTTTCCACCCATAAAGATCTATTTTGAAATGAAAATATTAAAATTTGGTTTAAAATGTCATTCCCAGCGTCAATTGATAGCTTATTGTACGCTGATTCCAAAAATATATGGTTTCTATACATTTTTTTTTTAAATAAGGGAGATAATTTGTCACTTCCGGTTTGAAATATGTTACTTCCGGTATAATTTGAATGTTGACTTGACACTGATTCCAAAAATATATGGTTCTATATACTTTTATATTAAATAAGTATAAAAAATAGCTACTTCCGGTTTACACAAGGTCACTTCCGGTTGGATTTTCCAAGGTCAAATGACTTGCAACCTAATGCAAAAAGTCCCATGGCTTTATCATGTATACATATGAGGTAAAAGCAAAGGTCAAAATCTAGAACGTCAAATTTACTTTTGACCTTGAGATCAATTTCTAGGTCATTAACCAAGGACCTCAAATCAAAAGACCCTAAGTCTTAATTATATATTGTTAACGAGTTATATCACCATACGCGTATTTTTAAATACAAGAGGGGAGAAAACTCTTATTTAATGTTAGCGCACCCTTTAAACCAAAATGTATGTGTTACGACATGTCGCAACTAACAATTTAGTAATAATATGTTGTCGATATCTTATACGGTCTTTGAAAAGAAGTGAGAATAAGCCAAAATCAAAATTTAGAATATGACCTTGACCTTTGACCTTGACCTAATTTTCTTTTTTTTTTTACCAAGGACCTCAAATCCAAAGACCCTAGGCCAATATCACTTATGGTTTACCAGTTAGAAACGCATATCACTTATATCAAATACATAAGGGGGAATAACTCTCATATGGAGTCTCCGGATAGCTTCGGTCAAAATAAAAATCCTAATCCTGAAGATGTAACGAGCAATTTGGTAAAATAAATTTGTTGTAATCTTTTACGGTTGCGAAGGAGTAGTGGCCACAAGAAAAAACAGTGTTTGGGAAGATAACTCTTACAACGTAAGGTATTTAGTTACGCGGTTGTCAGTTTTCAAAGCGTATAAACTATACGATATCATATTCCAAATATTTAAGCGACATCTTATGAAACAACAAAACTACGCAAGAAGAAAAATTAGGCGGAAGAAAAAAAAAATAATAATCAGAAGAAAACCAATAGGTCTTTCCACAGAAAAGTGGAAAGACCTAATAAAGATTCTCTTTTGGAAAGGGATGATAAGAAGAAATACAGTAAGGTATATATCTTTTGGAAAAAGATACGACATAATTAGAATAAAAATATTAAATACAGCAAGATTCCATTTTCTAAAAAGAAAGACCTTAATAATAATCAGAAAAAATACAGTTAGGCCTTTACCTTTTGGAAAAGTAAAGACCTTAATAATATAATATATATATATATATATATTATTATGCTTGTTGTTTATGTATTTGAATCAATGCGGTGCTTTATAAAGTAAAATTCTTCTTTGAAGCAAGACATTTTTAGAGGAGAAGGCTTGATTCGTAAATGATAAAGTGCTATATGTTGGATTAACAGTTTGCTTTGAAATATTATACTTTAGTTAGACATTGCAAATAATAATTATTTCATTGCAATGTCTAACTAAAGAACCACAATTATATTTTAACAAATACCGGTACAACATAGTTGTTTTAAAAATCTTTACTCAATTAGAGAAAAGAAAAATTATCCACAACGTCAGCTTACATAAAGAGTCTTTAACTTGTGTGCTAGATTTTTAATGCTCTTAGTCCTGACCTGACAACTTTGATCCATTCAGATATAGTTTTTTTGATTTGCATCGTGATATTTCATGCTCTGGCATAGTTCGTATATGCATATATCCGAAAACTTGACAATAATTTGGACTTTTCGTTGACAATTCTCTAAATCGTTAATTGTTTACAAAGAAAGGTCCAGTTATTTCGTGATCAGCCGGACTCTGTTTGTATGCGGACGATAACAGAAGGCAATCTAAAATATATTATGCAGTAACAACCAGCTGCTTTTAATGATGGTCTTTAGATATTTTAAACGATATGCATAAAGATATACTTACGAAAGACATATCTATTCTATCTTGCTCCTGTAACAATAAAAAACTTTTTAAACATCATTGATCGATCTAACTTCAAGACGAAGACAAGTTGAAATATTTGTTTTTAAAAACCCAAATATATTGTTGGATAATTACAGAATAAACGTAGCACATGTTACAAATACCTATATATTGATGACAATTTCATGACCATCCCATCGCAATTGACTCATTATACAATTTTAATTTTATTTTATCCAAGGCATATAATGCCTTAGTGGTACAAAACGCGAATGTTGGGCTACTTTCTTCTTTTTTTTTCGGGGGAGGGGGGAAGTCAATGGTACACAATGCTCTTAAACTTCGTATTTGTCTTCAATCTTTGTTTACGTCTAGTGCGGATGAGTCTCATGGAGCTAATCGTATAGTTTGATCAAACAGATCTGATTTTGCTGCATAAAACTATTCGACTTTTAAGATATATTTAAACTGTTTTCAATCACTGACATGCGCAAACATTGAGCAGCATGTGGGATTTTAATTCATTTTATCAAACAATTCCAAAAATACCTGGCAATATCAGTTTCTTATTTCATGTACACATTGCTGCAGATTTAAACTTGTTATCCAATGCATATTGAACATACTTCAGTAATGAAAACAAATATATGAAACGTGCTTATTGATCATTCTGAGAGGACCTTGCAGAACCGGGTTTTTGTTGATTTAAATTCTTATTTAGCATGTTTAGTGTCGGTTATTTTTGTTTTAAGGGGGTGGGAGTTTCTTGTTTGGGGATTAATGGCAATGATCTATGTTGGTAATTTGAAATTCGAAAGACTTATTTAAAATGTCTCCAATTCTCATTGCAAATATACAACAATTCCATAAATGTATACTAACATATCTAATTAAAAAAAAATAATGTATACTCCGAAAATGATGGTTCATTGAACATTACATTAGTATATGACAAATAATTAAGTAGAACAATGTGTTGGTTTTATAGGTAACTGGAGTAATTGACACATACAGTTTTGGTTTGTACAGATAACTTTAATTGTATTGTAAAACGGCTGATAAATGGCGTATTATATAATATGTGTATTAATGGTCATTCTTACCATTGGCACACAAACTGACAATATGCATTGTAACTAGGGTGCATTTAATGTGACATTCAGTTACTAAGTCAACAATATGGGTTTTGTCTGGGGTTTGCAATATCAGCATTTACAATATTGGTGTTGTATCATCGACATTATATATTTTTAATAGTTAAAACAATTAAAGCGATCCCCCCTTTTTTGTTTCCATGGCAACAATATTTATTGTTTTTACTTTTGGTTCCTGTGATTTTATGCAAAGAATGGGTCTTTTTCATGAAGAATAAATACATATGGTGTACAAGATTGAAGTACTCCTCTAAATTCAATTTTGTCTTGATAAAAAGCTTTTTCAATATCATGAGTATGTTGTATGAGATAATGACTTTTCGATATTTACAATTATTACATATTTTTGGATGGAATATTTGAATAAAAGGTTAAGGTTTTCCCTGTTTTTAATCTTATTTTTCTTCTGTATTCTGTATATAATAAGAAAAAAGAAACAAAAAGAAAATGTCCAACCAATGTGTAATTTCTGTTTATGGTCAACTCAAAATCATCAATTTTTCAGTATTTGATAAACAAATCTCCAAATTTGGATTCCAACGAGACAATAAAAAAACATATACAGGAGACAAAATCTTTCAACTATGTTTTATTATTGAGATATAATATTTAAATAATGTAATGTCATGCAGGAAAATGAGAATAAGTGTTTTATTTCCCTAGTATACTCCTGAATTTGGGAAGAATTTTTTTGTGCCTTTTCAACCCAAAATAATTATCACTGTTACAATGGAAACAACAATATCAACGAAGAAAATTACTAATGGATTCTTAATATTTTATGATACTACAAAGAATAAATTTATAACTATGCGTGCCATGCCTCTTTTTTGATATTTCGATATATATTTTTACAGAGAAATGGTACTATAAAGGAAACGTTTGGTTTGGGCTGTTCCTAGATACAAAGATCAATGACTTTTTACTTCTACTCATTTTAATAAATATTTTCTCTTCAAAATTAGTGTATCTTTACGTTCTCAATGATAAAGGATCATATTATTGTTACTAGTTAAACAAAAAAATACATTTATGATCATTTATTACGTTTTCATCTTTCTATCTTTCAGCAGATATTGTAAGTTTCTACATTATAGTGACCCAACATTTGTTTTTATTATGTAGTACAATTAAAATACGACATTTTAATATTTATCTAATTTAGATCTTACCTCAAGTTAAAGCGTCGTTTGAAGATTTATTGAAATAGTTAAGTGACTAACGATTTAAATATGCATCCTTCACGTTAGTTACATTGATACAAATAAAGGCTATCCAATAGCTAAGCCTCATACGTTTATAGGATGTAACTATGTGTTATTATTATGATAATGTGTAAATTATATTGATTTGGTTTATTTAGAAATTAGCTCACTGAAGAAAAAAAAAAACAACGAACATTTCACCCAATATGTATAATCAAAGTATTAAATGATTTTTTCCATCTGTCTTATAATGTGAATACTAGAAAAGAATGATAGCTTTAATTTCATGGACTCTTTGCTTTGGACAATTACTTTATTTTTGTTAATGTAAATACATTTTAAAATTCTCAATGTTTTGTTAATAATTTAGAAACAGGTTTCGTTGAGCATTTGGAAGACCCAGCAATATACTGTTGTTTGTAAGGACACTTATGTAGTTTAGGTATCCAATACAGTGATGGCAGATCCAGTTCTTCATCTTTGGTTGAAATTCCAAAGGAACATAGAACAGACCTGTGATTATCTAGGATTCCCTCTTTGGTAAGTGTCGTGAGGGTATATGTTGAAGTTCCAAGTGAATTGTCAATACCTAATTCATTTATCAAGCAGTTTATGTAATGAGATTTACACACATAATCAATGTTGTTTGGGGCTTTATCTGCGGGAACAACAACATATTTATCATGGAGGTAGGGCAAGTGTTTTGCAACATTTGGGTCTTCAACGATTGACGTAGCATGGGTTTTGATATACCTATTCAGTTTCTTAATTCTGATTTGTATCAACGACCTCTCATCCTTTATCCATTTGGAAAGAGTATCTACGTCTTCTTTCTCGCGTTTAGCTCATAGCCTGGCATAATCCTCGACTGAATCCATCAGTATTTATAAGTTGTATTTCCAATTGATATATATAGGCTCACGATATTTCGGACCTTTGGATAGCAAACATCGCAAATAAGTGTTATTGACAGTGTTGAGGCCTCCAGTAATAACGTGGCCAGCCGGATTATATGTGAATTGGGAACTAGCACAGGTGCAATCAGGAGGTTTAGACTTCAATATTGAGATCCTGCAAAACGTGTTTGTAATTGAAAATTTTAGTTGCAATAGGTTTGATATAGGTATAAGAAATGATTTGTACAGACTGATCTTTGAAATATGGAGGTATTTTTGTCTGAACTATTTTATGATGAAGGATATTTCTAAAGTTGATGCCATCGAGACCTTTGTTGGCAAATGAAAGTTAAAGAAAAGATCTTTTCTCATCTTCGTCTTTTCCAATGCGAACTGGGTTAAAAAGTCTGTGACTTGCAATATCCGAAATGATAGCTGTAAGTTTGTATTGGTAAGAGAACCAGTAATTGTTTCTAACATTTTCCAGTTTTAACGGGGCTCGCGGATTTATATTAACGCGCCTACTGGATGTTGCGCAATGATATCGTAAGTCATACCTATTGTCGTAATTGGCTAAAGTAATAATGCATGTTTTTTATCTTAGAGAATCTTTTTTTATTTGAATATGTTTTCAAAGAGTTTTGTAATTGAAAACTGTACTTTTATAAAATTTATTATTGCAATTTTCATTGTTGCAAATGCACTTCTTTTTGGGGGAAACAATTATAGCTTGTTTTCTTGATGTTGAGGAAACAGCCCAGATAATTCTAAATTATAAGACACGTTGGATGCTTTTCATGATAACTGACACACAGATCGAGAATAATAAATAACGATCTTCATTTAGAAGCTTATGAAGCAGTTTCTTAAAGGTTACGAATGCATGACTTCAACTTAACCATTTGGAACTCTTGGTTTAATAGCTTCCATTAAGCTGTGTTAAGTAGGGACAAGATTTATAATTTAGCAACAAGAAGAATAATTTAGGAACATGCAGAATTATTTAGCGACAAGACAACTTATGTAGGGACAAGAAAACAAATTAAGCACCAGGAAATCTAAACAAAAATAATTTCCAATAAATGAATAAAGAAACATGCATTAAAGTGTGGTTTTAAAATACGCGTATTATAATTATTTTATTATACTGATAGAAGAATATAGAAAAGTTTTTTTTTATAATCGAGGATATGTTATTGATAATATATTTACAGTTTACATTATATATATAATGTATAAGTAAATGAATAAATGAAAAGAGGGGGAGAGGGTGGTGGTTATTGCCTTGTTCTTAAATTTTTATGTTTTCCTCTATTATTGAGATTTTAATATTGTACAATTAAAGCCTTTGTATGAGGTCGATACAAGGATATGTTGACCTGAAAGAAGTATATTGACTGAGGACGAAGTCCGAGGTCGATATACTTCTTTGGGTCGATATATCCTGTATTGACCTCATAAATAGGCTATAATTGTTATATTATTAATTTCCGACCATATTTGTATCAAAATAGTCATTTGATTTTGTTGGAATTTTATAGATATCATATTGTCTCCTAGACAATAACAACATACATGACATATTAGTTGTTATTTCATTTACTTTTTTTTTTTTACAATGTATGTATTTGAAGATTTTTTTTCTTCAAATAATCGATCATTGATGTTTTTTTTTATAAAACTTTAAACAATATCATGAAATTCATTACATGACGTCAAAAAATATATCGGTTTTTAGATATTCTAAAAATAACCGTGCACTATGCTTTTAGCTGCGCAGTATGCTTTTTGCTATCCACCGTTTTCTATCAACCTTCGAAAATATAGTTTAACATGTGACTATCCCTGAACGAATCAAATTAGTTAAACTATACGAATTAATAATATAATGAGATATCTACTAATGTTAAAATAATTGCCATGTCCTTTATTTTCATAATTTGTTGATCAAGGTTACTTAACTCTTGTGGCACAATTATGATTCCAGGATTGTAACAATATGTTAAGATTCATAAAATACTTTGAAATGTTTGTTTTAGCAAGAAATCACTACATTCATGACATACAAGCTGGCATAGCTGCTACTAAATGTAAACAAATATGGATCAATTATTAAAATCTGTAATGAATTGTCTTTTTATATCTATATATAATAGCTTAAATTTACATAAACTTTCTTATCGCCTAATTTGTTTTCTGATGGCTTATTTTTATTCGTGTCGTTATGCCTAATTAGTGAGACCAAAGTATAGACACATTTATCAAGATCTGACCTCAAAAACATGTGCGCTGCCATTAAGGCGTCACGTGGTACGTCAGCCATAACAGTAGTGAAAGATAAGAATGTAAAAAACAATTGATTTTTCCATTGCCGACAATAGTAATGTTTCTTGCTGTACTGATTTTATTGAGTTGATTTTTATTATAAAACCTTTTTTAAAATAAAGAATATTTATTGTGTTAACATTTTTTATAAAAAAAATGATATGGTCGCGTTGCTTTTCTAGGTGTAATTTACAGTTGTCAAGGGTGACCGTCAATCTCGCACAAAAATAACAGTAAAATTTATGCATTCAACAACAGGAAGAAAAAAAATTCTCAACTACTTCTGAAGGAGGAATCAAATTTTATTTTGTCATTGCTACAACCAAGAATCCATAAGGTTTCAGGAAAAAAAATTATTATTTGTGGCATACTCCACCCAATCAAAATCAGCCATGTTTTTGTTTCTGAATACCATGTTATGCTCATTTTCGACTGGTCCCAAAAGAGCTAATGGTAGATTGTAACCTATAGAATCAAAAAAAGGGCCCAGAATCTAGCAAATTTTAGGCCAAATGAATATTTGTTATATCTAGTAATGGAAAAGTTGTAGGCAAAAGATGTCGATCACTTACAAGCGAAGAAAAAAGAAAAGTTCAACATGTACCCCAAATGACGGCAGAGGAAATGTGAAGCTGAGAGTTGATTTTTTTGCCAAATAAAACTTATTTATTTTCTTATTAAATATACAAAAGCAATAAGTCTGTGTGTTTTATCAATAGACTAGTGGATATGACTTTCACATAAAACACTAACATCAGCTGTCAGATAATTGGGGTAGATTCTACCCAAGAATTGAAAACTACAGGAAAAAATGACAATTTTCTTAATTTTGAAGTATTAAAAGTTTAATCTGAAACAACTTAATGCACTAAAAAACCATAACCTTACACCAAACAGATAAGACAGTGACCAGAGATGATGAATCAATTATCTTATCATATCTGTCACTGCAGCTGTAAGAATTAAAAATTTATATCTGTACTGCTATCTCTCTCTGTTTATGAGAATTTTTTATGAGAGTTCTGTTTGGTGCCTTTCTTTCAAATTAAAGATGCAAATTTTAACCAAATTTCCAATATAAAAGTAAAGACAGAATCCCAAACTTTCACAAACTTTTTCCTTAAACAGTTACATTCACGGATTACAAATAAATTCTACATATTAAAATGACCAAGTTCAGAAAGGGAAATAATTCAGGTTTTCCAACTGGAACTGTGCCTTACAATAGACAAAAAAAAACTGTAAAACCAAGTAAAAGTGACACAACACAAACAGTTTATAAAAGACTTACCAGAAAAATGACTTCTCTTGTGCAAAATATTCCATATAAGGATACCGATACTCAATCAATAAATGACACCAAACCTGCTGTTCTGTTGCGACCAAGGGATGCTGCTCCTAAAATTAAAAAAACAATGAAATCAGCAAAGAAAAATCAAAGGTAGGTTAAATGATAATTAAAGTAATAACATAAAATATCGAAATACCAGTTAATATGAACATAGGTATTATTTAACTCTATTTTAAATTATTTTTCTGAAAGCGGATTGAAAATGCCTATCAGTTCTTTAAATCTAGAAATTTCCCTTGAAATAATATTTTGTTGTTGTCGTACCTTCTTGAATTAATAAAATATATGCTTAACTTAAAGAAAATATTGATACTTCAACCTGCTTAGCTTCATAATACCAAGAAATTCTATTTTATATTTGTGCCAAAAAAAATTGTGATCAAAGGGAGGTAATTCACAAATATTTTTAAGTACATTTAGAAACTACTGTTACAGGTAGAAAAACACTCTCTTATGGCATTCTTTTCTATTAAATTTTAGGTCTGAAGATTCATCTAATAGAACAGTAAATGTGAGACTGAATGCAATAATGTGGAACTCT